CCGAACCCGCGGCGGGAGCACCGCTGCGCACCCAAGCGCCGCACTCTCCCGAGTGTGCCATGGGGCTGGCCCTAGAGCTGGGATTTAAAGCAGCTCTTCTGACTCCAGAGACTGAATTATTTCAAGGGCAGAGCCTAGGTTGTTTTTCCCTAAGAATGCTGAGAAAGCCTGGTCCCTCAGTCATAGCTACGTTGTTCTTCTATTGTAAAAATGGCTACCCTCTTGGTTTCTCCTTTTTATAGTAGGTTCTAGAGGGACATGGTAAGGAGTGCCTGTCAGAGATTTGAGTTCAAATCCCTGTTTCGCCACCTACCAGCTGTGTTGATTCAAGCAAGTCACTTCTCCATTTAGTCATCTGTACAATGGAGATAATAATGTATCTAGCACATAGGGTTGTTTTGAGAATCAAATGAAATATATATAATGTGCTCAGCACAGAGCTTAGCATGTAGAAAACTCTCAATAAATATCAGTTGTTGTCATTGTGTTGAGTAATAAAGAATTTGTCTGTTTTTGTCCCAGGTTCCCGGGACAGAGCTTCTAAACCCTTGGAATTTCCCGAGTGATAGGAATGTCTTTGTTATTCAAGGTGGGCCCTGGCACTGCAACCGAGCTTATGCTAACCAGGTGACTTCAAATGGGGGCCAGTCATGTGGAAAAGCCAGCCATGTGATTAGAGGGTTGGGGCTTTGAGGCTTGTCATTTCATCAGGACCTCCCAACCTCTGGGGAAGGAAGCTGGAGATTGAGCTCAGTCATGCTGTCAGTGATTCAAGCAATCACACCTACCTCATGAAACCCCGTTAAAAACTCTGAAGCCCCCCCGGACTTATGAACACATCAGTGTGTGAGGAGGGTGTGAGAAGTGCCCTCACCTGTCCAAGGCCAGAGGATGGACGTGGAGACACAAGGTACAGCAAAGCAAGACTTTAATTATGGCCTTGCAAGGTTCTGACGGGCAGGCACCCGGAAAAGGGCTGTAGCAAGCGATTTATTCCCTAGTGCACAAGTCCCTGCCCCCACGTCCTCACTGGTCAGGGTGCATAATCTTCCTGGAGGACGTCTAAGATTACCCCGATTTATTACCCCCTTGTAAGAAATTTCTTTGTCTGAGGGCTCAGGACAAGCCCATGAAAAAGTCCCGCTGAAACCCTGTGAAAGGAGAAACACTAGGGAATGAGGAGGACAATAAAGGGCTGGTAACTCATCACCATCTCAAGGACAACTTTATCCATTTGAAGTAAACAAGTAAGGGCTGGTAAGTCATCATCTCAAGGAGAACTTTATCTATTCAGTGACCCCCCCAGGAATAGGTGGGCCAGTCAGACAACTTTTGGGCTGGGCCTGAATTATTTCTGAATATGCATCACTTAGATGATTTTCTTACAGAAGGTGATGTGCTCTAGTTTCATGGGGAGAGGGCACGGGAGCTCTGCATGTAGGACCCTCCCAGACCTTGCCATGTACATCTTCATTTGGCTGGTCCTGATTTGGATCCTTTATAATAAAACTGTCATCCTAAGTATAGTGCTTTCCTGATTTCTGTGCGTCATTCTTGTGAATTTTTGAAATGGAAGGAGTCTTATGAACCCTGAATTTGTAGACAGATGGTCAGAAGTGTGGCTGGTCTGGGGACCCCAAACTTGCAACTGGTGTCTGCGGTGAGGGCAGTCTTGCTAGGGACTGTGCCCTTGGCCTGTGGCATCTGTGCTAACACCAGGTGGTCTGCATCAAATTCGAACTGCAGTATTGCAGGTTTTTTTTTTATCACTGGATGAGACGTTGCCTGGCTGGCAGGAGAAGCTAGGCTGCCACAGAAAAAGAAACGCTCCCAGAGGGCCAGGATCTAGATTGCGGGGGCTGGAAAAACAGGCCATGCTTTAGTCAGAAACTCACATTGCACAGAATCAAGTCCTCAGCCTCGTTTGCACTAGGAAAGAGGGTCTCTTCTGGGCCGTTTCTATGAGTAGAGGTGAGGGGGTGGTGCAGAGAGGGGATAGGAACAATGAACTTAGAACCGTATCCTAGTTTAAGTTTCCATGTTTGGATGTAGTGTAATGTTCTGAGAACACATCAATCTTTTCTGGGATTAAATAACAACAGTAATAATATTAATAATTATAAAACATTACAGATAAGCCCCAGAGTGGCTTACTGCATTTTGAACAACGCTTATTTTTCCTGGGCATTTGGGGCTCTTCTACGCTCTCCCATCTCACGAGCAGCAGATTATCTCACTGGATGCCAGTCTGCATCCCTCAGACATTCCCGACGCTCCTAGCCGTGTGGTGTCCTCCCTTCAGAGGAGCTGGCCTTCTCCGGGGCATCCTTCCCCTCACTGTTCTTGCGGAGTTTCAGCTCCGCTCTCTGCTGCCTCGATGTCAAGTTTCCCACCTTCCCTCTAGATGCTGCCTTGAGACATCTATCTTTTCTGAAGTCTCCTGCACAGATTTTCTCACCAGAGTGTTGCCCTGACTTGTAGCAAATGAACTATTGTTTTCTCTTCCAGGTTTATGCTGGAGGATAAGCTGCTGCAAGGACCTCCGTAGAAGAAATCACTGCCAAATGGTGCTGTTTACTTCTGCAGCTCTCTGCTAAAAATCGAGGTTTTCCTTGAAGACAGTGATGCTGTTAGAAACCAACAAAATGCTCATTGTAAACCAGTCCAAGTTCCCTGAAGGGTGCTTAGCCACAAGGGGGACGGGCTGGGGGCTGGTGGGGAGATGTTGACACAGAGAAAAGAGGTCAGACATGGGGATGCCCAGACTCCAGCCCTGGACACAGAAGCCACAGGCCCGCCGCAGAATGTTCCCAGTCCTCAGGTACACTGAAAATTGTCTGCTGTGTGACTTCAGCCTCCTAGCCTTAATTATGCAACCCATCTGTACCTGTCTGACAACAGCAATTTGGTGGCAAAAACCAGAGCAATGACCAGTCTCAAAAGAGACTTTACAGCCATCTCCTCCAACAACCAAATGAAACGCGGCAGAATCCCACCGTACTGGAGCACAGCCTTTGCTTGTTCTCCTAGATCTAGCCTTTCTCTTTTAACTTAGGGAGCCTCACTGAACACACCTCTGGGAGTGAAGCAGCTTTGCCTTGTCCAGTGAGCATCAGCTCAGCTTTGCTTTTGTAGCTCTGGCTATCTTGGTAGTTTCAAAGCTGTCACTGAGCTAGCTGTGTGACCATAGGTGACTTTACTGGGCCTCAGTCCTCTCAAACGGGGATGATAATAGTACTTCCTCAGAGAACTATTTAAGGCTTAAGTGAGAGAATCCACACAAGCACTAGACATGGTGCGTGGCACACAGTGAGCATTTTTGTAAACGTCAGGGGAAGGGAATAGCTGTGGAATAGGCAGAAATCCCTGGAGTGGTCGCTCGGCTTCCACACCTTGTTAGCCCTGACACTTAGCAAGTACGTGATGCTCAGTAGTTACCACTGTGTTGTTTGACTCTCATGATGCCTGTCGGGAAATTCAGAGTGGGCGTTTCTACCATCACCTGACAAAGAGAAGACCAAGGCAATGAGAACTTACAGGCCTTAACCTGAGGGCACACAGCTAGTCAGTCACAGGAAACCTCTTGTGCTGCCCACTCCAGACCAGGGGATTTCACTTCCGGACTCTACACTAGAAACTAGAGAATGGAAAACCAAGGAATAATGAGTGTGGGTGAGCAGGGAAGAGCTGACCCAGCAGGCCTGAGTTGTCCAAACCCCATATACTTCAGAGAAAGTCTGGCATTTGACTGGTTCCTGGGAGATAACCTCTGAGCCTTCGGAATATCCCGACTGATAAGAGTGCCTTTGTGACCCTGGAGCCTTGGCCACACTCGACAGTCTGTGCTAACAGTGTCATTTAAGGTGGGGGCCTCAGGCCACCCTGTATCAGTCTGACCTCTGGAGAGGCTGGAATCCAAGTAGCTAAGTTCAGTAACGAGGGCATGATCTACACGACTGACCTCAATGAAATCTCTGCACACCAAGGCTTAGGCGAGCTTCCCTGGCTGGCAACCCTTTGTACTTATGGTCACACACAGTTCCTGGGAGAGTTCGGCACAGTCTGCACGACTCCACTGGGAGCAGACAATAGGAAGCTCACCACTGGAGCTCCCCTGGGCTCTGCCCTGCGCACCTGTCCCCTTTCTGATTTTAATCTGTATTCTTTCACTGTAACAAACATGTATATGACAGCTTTTCTGAGTTCTAGGAATCCCTCTAGTGAGTCATTGAATCTGAGGTTAGTCTTGGGCACTCCCGACACAGTGAGCAACTGAGGATCTGCTGCTGCACCGTGGAGAGGGAGGCCCTGACATCTGGACTCTGCAATGACGTTTGGAACCACTTGCTTTTTCTTCAGCAGTGGCCCCCTCCCTTCCTCCTTCCCTGCCATGCCTAGGCCACTACTGTTGTCCCAGTGTTAGGCTACAAAGAGTAAGTCTGAGATGCACCCTTGTTGGGGTGGCTTTTCTAAGAATGATTGCTTTTCAAAAGGTGTTGTGCTGGGCTGGGGGAGACAGGAAGCCTGCCTTCCTTCCAGCAGGTTTGGTTTTCCTTCAGGAAATAGACAAATTGAATCTGAGGACATATTGTATTTGATTGTTGAGTCAAACACTGACCCACGGTTGCAAACATAGTATTTATTTCCCCGCTCCTTGCACAGGTTTAGAAGAGGGTCCGGAGGCTCTTACACCACCGGCATTCTGGCAAGCCCAACCGAGATGACTTGAGAGCTAACCTGTGACCCCAAACTGTGGGATTTTCATCCCTGACTGATTTTATTTCTGGGTAGAGTCTAAAAAACAAGCTAAGTTGTCTGTATGATCAGGATCTCAGCAGCAAGTGAGGAGGAGAGTGAGAGTTGGGAAGGGTTGGGGGAGGAAGCTGTAAACCACGTGCAGCCTTGGCAAGTAGCTTCTCAGCCAGCGTGTTGGTTTCAGTTCACGTTGCTACTAAATAAAAGTGTTGTATTCTTGTTTTTTTCACAAGTGAGGAAGCTGTAAACCATGTGCAGCCTTGGTAAGTAGCTTCTCAGCCAGCATGTTGGTTTCAGTTCACGTTGCTACTAAATAAAAGTGTTGTATTCTTGTTTTTTTCACAAGTTTATTCTTTGGGGACACATCTTTCCCCTTTTTATTCTCGTTTTCTTTTAAAAGGAATCTTCCCCAGACAGCATCTGTTTTTAGTGATTCCGACCCTCTGCGAAGATGTCCTTTTCCCCTGAAGACCTCCTCTGACTCCCAAGTCCAAGTTAGCTCATCATCTGTGGGGGCTTCAAAATGTGTCAGCGTGGCTAAGGGGGACCAACATTTCCCAGAATTTCCTTCTCTGTATGTTTCTGGTCACAATGAGCCACGAAATGGGTTCTTGTGGGAGGTGAGGCAGGTGGAGGTGGCGTAGCAGCCACCCCGGGGCCCACGCGTGTGGCCTCACCTGCTGGCCGTCTTTGCTGGCATGAGGCCGGGGCTGGGCCCGCACTGCTCCACCCTCCCCTGGATTCTCCTTCAGCTTCTCCAACACCAGGGCCGGAGGACGCTGGCTTGTACCCGAACTCACACCAAGGACAGAGGCAATAAGACAGACCTGGGCGTCAGTCTGTCCCATGGGTTCAGTCTGGATTCTCCTTCAGCTTCTCCAACACCAGGGCGGAGGACGCTGGCTTGTACCCGAGCTCACACCAAGGACAGAGGCAATAAGACAGACCTGGGCGTCAGTCTGTCCCATGGGTTCAGTCCAGTTTGTGGTGGGCTCCAGCTGGTTCTTCACCTGCCCACTCCACAGCCACCTTTCCTTCCCCAACTGCCTGCCCTGTGGACTTCAGGCTGCAGCCACAGGCGTGAAGGTACAGCATCTCAGAGGCTTCTCACCCGGCTCCAACGATTGCATAAGGCCAGTCCCTGTAAGAAATCTATCTAAACCTGTCTGCCTGCCTGTCTGCGTATCCATCCATCCATCCACCCAGCCACCCACCCGCCTACCCACACCTACCTGCCTGCTGTCTCTCTACCTATCCCCTTCTCTGATCGAATCCTGTTATCCTATCCTAGTTGCTCCCTCACCTTCCAGACTTTCCCCATCATAGCCTTTACAACACTGGGCCGCAATTTCCTGTAATTCCTAAATGTTCCCCAGCTCTGTAAGCCCTCTCTCTGTGTGACATCTTGTTTACTTGTCTGAGAGCAGCATTTCATGAAGGCAGGGACTGTGTTTGGCTTGTTCTCAGCTGTAGTCCCTTGGCTAAAATAGAGCCTGACATATAATAGATGTTCAATTAATATTTGATGCATGAAAATTGGAATGAGTTTTGTTTCCATTGACTCTTATTTCCCCCTGTTTAGTAAGAATTTGTTTTGACAGTTAGGAGCTAGAAAATAGCTCATTTCTTGAACGTGCATGGGGTGAAAAGGGGTAATATGCTCCAATCGTGGGAAGAAGTAGTCATTTGGTTCTGGAATCTTTTGGCAAGTTATAATGGGTTAAATAATTCCAGGATGGCTGCAGCTCCATCTCACCCACCTCACCTCCTACAAGAATCTCTTTTGCGGCTCACCACGACTGGAAACATACAGGGAAGGGAATGGCCATCAGAGGACAGTGGTGTCCCAGCCCTGCAGGGCCCCCTGCAGAGAAAGCTTATCTTCCATACGTTATAAATTACCCTTCATGGGTGAATGTTTGCAGATTTTTTTCTTTTTTGTAATTTCATGCCTCCCTAATTAATACCTAATGCTCAGGGTACTCGCAAGGGAGCACATGGCCGCCAGCTCAGTCATGTGTATGTTTTTAGGCTTCTGGGAGGGGTTCAGCCCAAATAGGCTGGGCAACCCTCTGCCAAGCAACCCACACTGGTGTGCTAGGCAGAGCCTCTAAGAGTTGCTTATGGTTCCACGATTATGTCTGAAAACTCTGTGCCTGGAGTTCACAATGATGCCGAGAGCAGCTGTGGCACCAACTGTCTTCATTAACAGAAGGTCGGGATCCTAATTTTCATTGCGGTAAAACATATATAACTTGAAATTTACCACTTTGACCATTTTTAAGTGTACAATTCAATGGCATTAAGTATATTTACACTGCTTGCTGTGCAACCATCACCATTACCCATTTCCAGAACTTTTTTATCATCCCCAATGGAAAGTCTGTACCCATTAAACGGCAGCTCCCCACTTCTTCCTCCCCCAGCCCCTGGGAACCACGACTGTGCATTCTGTCTCTATGAATCTGGCCACTCTAGGTCTCTCATATACGCGGAATCACACGGTATTTGTCTTTTTGCATCTGGCTCCTTTCATTTAGCGTAATGTCCTTAAGGTTCATCCATGTTGTAGTGCGTGTCAGAATTTCATTTCTTTTTAAGGCTGAACAGTATTCCGTGGTATGTACAAATCACATTTTGTTTACCCATTCACCATCAGTGGGCTTTTGGGTTGTTTTTATTTTCGGCTGTTGTGAATAATGCTGCTATGAACATGGGTGTACAAGTATCTGTCTGAGTCCCTGCTTTCAATTATTTAGGTATATACCTAGAAGTGGAATTGCTGGATCATGTGGTAGTTCTATGTTTAATTTTTTGAGGAAGTGACAAACTGTTTTCCTGGATCCTAATTTTTTAAACTCTATCATCTCAACATTTGGACCAATAACGTTTGGTCATAGGGTTGTTAGGCTATCAGAATTGATTTAGGGGTGGCACAGTACATGTGTTAAAAGAAGACTTGGGTTCAGACCATGGCCCCAGTGCGTCCCAGCTGTACGATCCTGGGGAAGTTACATAACCACCTTGGCCGGTGCTTTCCTCACCTGTAGTTACTTCCCAGGATCACGGAGGGAATTAAAGCAGACAAAAATATACAGAAGCATTTTGTGTAGTGCCTAGCATAGAAGAAATCCCAGCTGTACGATCCTGGGGAAGTTACATATCCACCTTGGCCGGTGCTTTCCTCACCTGTAGTTACTTCCCAGGATCACAGAGGGAATTAAAGCAGACAAAAATATACAGAAGCATTTTGTGTAGTGCCTAGCATAGAAGAAGGGCTCCATAAAGGTGAATCCCCTTAATTGGTTGCACTTCTTGGCCACATTGTCTCCACCTGGATGTTCTTCCCTCCCCTCTGCACTCCCACAAAAACCTGTCCTTTGACACCCTTCTCTAGAAAACTCACCTGCCCTGGCCCATCTCCATCAGGACACAGCAAGATGGTAATAGTCCATCATGTAAAATGTGCAGCTCCCTGGGACATTCAGTTTTTCACAGGGCTCAAGCTTTCAACCTAAGGGCGAATCCTCATAATGACAGTGCCTCAGACACTTGGGACATGACCCTGGGGGGTAGTGCTTGAGCAAACTGACTTTCACTATGCACTTTAGATCCTCCTTGGAGCCCCACTGCCTACTCCTCCCGGACTGAGAGTAGTGCTGGAGGGGACAGGACGACCAGCCTGAAATGCTGGACACGTCTAGCTGATGGCAGAGACTGACAGCGACACACATTTCTGACAGGCCTGCTCAGAGGCGAGTGATGTTCCCGTGCTTCAAATGTTCCTCCCACAANAGAGGGTCCGGAGGCTCTTACACCACCGGCATTCTGGCAAGCCCAACCGAGATGACTTGAGAGCTAACCTGTGACCCCAAACTGTGGGATTTTCATCCCTGACTGATTTTATTTCTGGGTAGAGTCTAAAAAACAAGCTAAGTTGTCTGTATGATCAGGATCTCAGCAGCAAGTGAGGAGGAGAGTGAGAGTTGGGAAGGGTTGGGGGGAGGAAGCTGTAAACCATGTGCAGCCTTGGTAAGTAGCTTCTCAGCCAGCATGTTGGTTTCAGTTCACGTTGCTACTAAATAAAAGTGTTGTATTCTTGTTTTTTTCACAAGTTTATTCTTTGGGGACACATCTTTCCCCTTTTTATTCTCGTTTTCTTTTAAAAGGAATCTTCCCCAGACAGCATCTGTTTTTAGTGATTCCGACCCTCTGCGAAGATGTCCTTTTCCCCTGAAGACCTCCTCTGACTCCCAAGTCCAAGTTAGCTCATCATCTGTGGGGGCTTCAAAATGTGTCAGCGTGGCTAAGGGGGACCAACATTTCCCAGAATTTCCTTCTCTGTATGTTTCTGGTCACAATGAGCCACGAAATGGGTTCTTGTGGGAGGTGAGGCAGGTGGAGGTGGCGTAGCAGCCACCCCGGGGCCCACGCGTGTGGCCTCACCTGCTGGCCGTCTTTGCTGGCATGAGGCCGGGGCTGGGCCCGCACTGCTCCACCCTCCCGTGGATTCTCCTTCAGCTTCTCCAACACCAGGGCCGGAGGACGCTGGCTTGTACCCGAACTCACACCAAGGACAGAGGCAATAAGACAGACCTGGGCGTCAGTCTGTCCCATGGGTTCAGTCCAGTTTGTGGTGGGCTCCAGCTGGTTCTTCACCTGCCCACTCCACAGCCACCTTTCCTTCCCCAACTGCCTGCCCTGTGGACTTCAGGCTGCAGCCACAGGCGTGAAGGTACAGCATCTCAGAGGCTTCTCACCCGGCTCCAACGATTGCATAAGGCCAGTCCCTGTAAGAAATCTATCTAAACCTGTCTGCCTGCCTGTCTGCGTATCCATCCATCCATCCACCCAGCCACCCACCCGCCTACCCACACCTACCTGCCTGCTGTCTCTCTACCTATCCCCTTCTCTGATCGAATCCTGTTATCCTATCCTAGTTGCTCCCTCACCTTCCAGACTTTCCCCATCATAGCCTTTACAACACTGGGCCGCAATTTCCTGTAATTCCTAAATGTTCCCCAGCTCTGTAAGCCCTCTCTCTGTGTGACATCTTGTTTACTTGTCTGAGAGCAGCATTTCATGAAGGCAGGGACTGTGTTTGGCTTGTTCTCAGCTGTAGTCCCTTGGCTAAAATAGAGCCTGACATATAATAGATGTTCAATTAATATTTGATGCATGAAAATTGGAATGAGTTTTGTTTCCATTGACTCTTATTTCCCCCTGTTTAGTAAGAATTTGTTTTGACAGTTAGGAGCTAGAAAATAGCTCATTTCTTGAACGTGCATGGGGTGAAAAGGGGTAATATGCTCCAATCGTGGGAAGAAGTAGTCATTTGGTTCTGGAATCTTTTGGCAAGTTATAATGGGTTAAATAATTCCAGGATGGCTGCAGCTCCATCTCACCCACCTCACCTCCTACAAGAATCTCTTTTGCGGCTCACCACGACTGGAAACATACAGGGAAGGGAATGGCCATCAGAGGACAGTGGTGTCCCAGCCCTGCAGGGCCCCCTGCAGAGAAAGCTTATCTTCCATACGTTATAAATTACCCTTCATGGGTGAATGTTTGCAGATTTTTTTCTTTTTTGTAATTTCATGCCTCCCTAATTAATACCTAATGCTCAGGGTACTCGCAAGGGAGCACATGGCCGCCAGCTCAGTCATGTGTATGTTTTTAGGCTTCTGGGAGGGGTTCAGCCCAAATAGGCTGGGCAACCCTCTGCCAAGCAACCCACACTGGTGTGCTAGGCAGAGCCTCTAAGAGTTGCTTATGGTTCCACGATTATGTCTGAAAACTCTGTGCCTGGAGTTCACAATGATGCCGAGAGCAGCTGTGGCACCAACTGTCTTCATTAACAGAAGGTCGGGATCCTAATTTTCATTGCGGTAAAACATATATAACTTGAAATTTACCACTTTGACCATTTTTAAGTGTACAATTCAATGGCATTAAGTATATTTACACTGCTTGCTGTGCAACCATCACCATTACCCATTTCCAGAACTTTTTTATCATCCCCAATGGAAAGTCTGTACCCATTAAACGGCAGCTCCCCACTTCTTCCTCCCCCAGCCCCTGGGAACCACGACTGTGCATTCTGTCTCTATGAATCTGGCCACTCTAGGTCTCTCATATACGCGGAATCACACGGTATTTGTCTTTTTGCATCTGGCTCCTTTCATTTAGCGTAATGTCCTTAAGGTTCATCCATGTTGTAGTGCGTGTCAGAATTTCATTTCTTTTTAAGGCTGAACAGTATTCCGTGGTATGTACAAATCACATTTTGTTTACCCATTCACCATCAGTGGGCTTTTGGGTTGTTTTTATTTTCGGCTGTTGTGAATAATGCTGCTATGAACATGGGTGTACAAGTATCTGTCTGAGTCCCTGCTTTCAATTATTTAGGTATATACCTAGAAGTGGAATTGCTGGATCATGTGGTAGTTCTATGTTTAATTTTTTGAGGAAGTGACAAACTGTTTTCCTGGATCCTAATTTTTTAAACTCTATCATCTCAACATTTGGACCAATAACGTTTGGTCATAGGGTTGTTAGGCTATCAGAATTGATTTAGGGGTGGCACAGTACATGTGTTAAAAGAAGACTTGGGTTCAGACCATGGCCCCAGTGCATCCCAGCTGTACGATCCTGGGGAAGTTACATATCCACCTTGGCCGGTGCTTTCCTCACCTGTAGTTACTTCCCAGGATCACAGAGGGAATTAAAGCAGACAAAAATATACAGAAGCATTTTGTGTAGTGCCTAGCATAGAAGAAGGGCTCCATAAAGGTGAATCCCCTTAATTGGTTGCACTTCTTGGCCACATTGTCTCCACCTGGATGTTCTTCCCTCCCCTCTGCACTCCCACAAAAACCTGTCCTTTGACACCCTTCTCTAGAAAACTCACCTGCCCTGGCCCATCTCCATCAGGACACAGCAAGATGGTAATAGTCCATCATGTAAAATGTGCAGCTCCCTGGGACATTCAGTTTTTCACAGGGCTCAAGCTTTCAACCTAAGGGCGAATCCTCATAATGACAGTGCCTCAGACACTTGGGACATGACCCTGGGGGGTAGTGCTTGAGCAAACTGACTTTCACTATGCACTTTAGATCCTCCTTGGAGCCCCACTGCCTACTCCTCCCGGACTGAGAGTAGTGCTGGAGGGGACAGGACGACCAGCCTGAAATGCTGGACACGTCTAGCTGATGGCAGAGACTGACAGCGACACACATTTCTGACAGGCCTGCTCAGAGGCGAGTGATGTTCCCGTGCTTCAAATGTTCCTCCCACAATCCCCCGGGAATATGCCGATTAGCTGTAAGCTGGGCCAAACCTTTCTGCTGCAGAACGAGGACACCAACGACTAAGTGACTCAGGGAGATCACGTTCTTTTTTATTTTTTTCCTTTTTGTCTTTTTTACTGACCGGCAACGGGATCACAACCCTCGGTGTCGCGCCTGCACCACGCTCAGCCAGTGAGCGGGAACCGGTCTCCACATGGGATCCAAACCCTCGGCGGGAGCGCCGCACTCTACCAAGTGCACCACCGGGCCGGCCCCGGAGATCACGTTCTGAAATGGACACTGCAGACTGAGGTGAATCAATACCCCTCCTCTTTGGCTGAATTTCCTGGAGCAGAAATAAACCTTACACCATATCGTTTGTTGGTATGTGAGGTTAAATGAATTAGTTTCAACCAAAACTTGAGGCACAGTCTTTCAAAACGAATTTTTGTGTTGCTTCCTAGTGTGAAGAGTTGTTTGATAAACATAGTTTGTACACTAACATATTGGAATTTCTGGGGCATTTTGATGTATTACAGAGACAAGTAAAATATTAGAAACTGGGATGGTTTCTGCAATGCGAGAACACATGGTGCCCATCCTGGTGAGATTCACTGCCAGCACTGGAGCCAAGACCAACTAGAATTTTTGGTGAGATGAATTTAGGGACACTGCCAAAAAGTGGGCTCCTCCTGTTGCTGCTCCTGCTGCCTGCGGTCTCTGGCCGAATGCTGTCCCTAGGTGTCCCGGGAGGGCGCCAAGTTGATGGCACCGTGCAGGGGGGCTGGGTTTGCCCCACTGAGCAGACATGATAAGGCACATATGGTGCGCCTTCCTGCAAATGTCAACGCCTCATTTCAAGACCTAAAAATGAAATAAAGTGTATTTTAAACACTTATGCACAGATCAGTCGAGAATGCAGTTCTGAGGATGTGAGTACCACAAAGCTGCTGTCAGGGTGTGTCTGGCCCATTCCCCAATAATGAGCCTTGTCCTCCTGGTGTTCGGAGAGGACTCAGGACAGCCTGTAAGGACCAGAGTTAATGACCGTGTAGTCAAATGGGCCTTGACGGCCAGCTCAGAAATCTCCCTCTACAGTCGATATGTTCCCTATGGCAAAAGGCACACTAAGCTCCAAATGGCCTGCTTACAAACGCATTTGGGGAAAAAAATCGAACTGATCATGGGTGACTGCTCAGATAATTAATCTCCTTAAAGATGGCCAAGTAGACTTAAGGTGTTAATTTAATAGACAGTTCTGTGATACATGACTATGAGAAATGTGAGTATTTTCAACTTATTTCTTGGGGTGAAAAATTTGGAGTCTGACTTAATGAGTATTCAAATTCTCTTGTTTCCTGTATTTGACAAATGCCACGTATTTTTCTAGCATAGATTTAGCTGGATCAAGTCTTCTCCATGTTAGCTATTGAAATCAGCGGGGAGTGGGTCATGGTTTCTGACATAAAATGTCCTCATCCTAGGTTCTGAAATACACAGAGTATTATAATGAACAGAGGTCATCTTTTTATGTTACAGTTTGCAGGTAGAACACCTGGGTGTACCTGGGTTCCTTCTAGAACTGGATCTGCCACTAGTAAGCTATTAATTGACGAGAACATCATATATCCTGTCTGGGTCTCAGACGGTCTGAATCTCCGTCTGAAAAAATGAGAGCAGTGAACTGCAGGATTTCTGTCTGCTCCACACTCTGTGCTCTGAGCAGTGGCAGTGAGGACACCAGTTAGGATTAATGTGAGGTCTGGGGTCTTTTAAATCAGGGGACGTAGTGTTCTGGCCAACTTCCTGCCGCCTGGATG